GGACAGCAGGGTAGCCACCGTCACCGCAAGCCATGGGGCGGTAGTACTCGTACTGAGTCAAGCCATCGGTGAGACCGTTGCCAATCAGCACAGACTTAAGGTTGATGTTACGCTTCTTGTGAGAAAGGATCTCAGAGGCAAAGACAGGAATGTAGTGACCAGCGTAAGACTCGCCGGCAATGTGGAAGTCTTGCTTGGCATACTCGGGGAACTGCTTGAAGAAGAGAGAAAGCAGAGCATAGACGTCCTTGCCAGCAGCAACAGTGTCACTGACAGCAGAGCCACTGTAGGAGTAACCGACGTTGACGGGCTGATCAAGGAAGATGACGGAGGCGTTGGAGTTCCAAGAGAAATCATTGTAGATGGGTTTGATGTTCTCATCAATGCTGCTGGGTCCGAGCTCCATGAAGAGACCGGTCAGAGACGAACAGCCGGGGCCTCCGTTCAACCACAAGACAACGGGGTCGTTGGCGGGATCGTTGCGAGATTCGAAGAACCCTTCAGAGAGTTAGTGTTGAATCCCTTCGTTCCAGGCATAATTGCCACTTACAGTAGAACAGGTGCTTATCATTCTCGTTATCATCAAGATAACCGGTATATTGCTTGACGTTCGGGTCAATGTTGAGGGAGCTAGGGTCGGTCTTCTTGACCCTGAGATCGTAGGCTTCCAGACGGCCATCGATCTCCCGCTCCTTCTCGCCGTTGGCGCCGGTGACCCAGACGTCCTGGACATCAGCACCACGAACGACGTGGTCCCAGTGAGAGTCGGGACGACGGTTGTGCTTCTTGGGCAGAGAGAAGAGAGGGTTCTGGTCCATGCTCTCGGGGAAGCTGCTGGCAACCTCCTCCCAGAGCTTACGAGCATCGTCGGAAAGAGTCTTCAGCTGCTCCTTGAAAGCGTGCAGGGGCTCGGAGGAGCTCTCGACGGTCGACTTGAGGTTCGACTTGACGTCTCCAAGAACCTGCTGGAAGGGAGAGGAGACGGCAGCAGTGGCCGCTCCGACCAGCAAAGAAGCTGGAAGTACTCTCATAATGAACTTGGTCTACTTATCAAAGGGCTTCTGTTGAGTCGTTGATGGATTGAGGAGAAAAGGATGGCAAGGACCTTGCGGTCAGGATGGTACCTGGGAGGCAAGGTGCTTATCAGCATGGGCTATCAGGGCAAGACGGGTGTGGCTGGGGAAGGGGAGATAAAGCTTACAGCTCAGGGCAGTTGGAAATGGATGGAATTGTAGCCGATGGAACACCAGCTACTTGATCCTACCGAGAAGATCAAGAAGAGAGAAGAAGAGGTGAGGATGAGAGAGAGAAGGGAAGAGGGAGAAGGAGAGGTCCGGCGTTGGCCTGCAGATGACGCCTTGATAGCTGGGGGAGGAGGCGGCCAATCAAACCGCGGTGCCTTCCGGACCAAGGCGAGTCACGCGCCGAGTCACATGTCGTGACTAAGCAGCTTTCACGGGACCAGCGTCATCGCCCGTTCCTCCAATCACAACCCCGTCAGGCCACTTGCCTGCCTGGATGCGGGCATTATTTTTTCAGACGAAACCCAGACATACCCCTCTTGATAAACAATCCTATCCACCAGATACCGATCTTCTGTGGTTTATTCCTTGCTTATACCAGCGGAACGCATTTGTCTTCTCCGTGAAGGAGGCCTCTTCCAAGATGCCGATCAACCAACCCTCAAATCAGATCAAATTCACGAATGTATCAGTCGTCCGATTAAAGAAGGGTAAGCGGACCAACTCTTCCACTACATCTACCATATACCTCAGCGCAAGCGTCTGGAAATCCAGCTGGGACTATCTTTCGGACCGGCGATCTCAAATATGAGGAACAATTTACCAAACTCCCCTTCACCACCTCGCTAACACTCCACCTTCTCCAGGCAAAAAGCGCTTCGAACTCGCCTGCTACAAGAACAAACTCCTGGAATACCGCTCCGGCGCCGAAAAAGACCTCGACAACGTCCTGCAAGTGCCCACCATCTTCCTGTCGGTGTCGAAAGCCCAGACGGCGCCGTCGGCCGAGCTGGCCAAGGCGTTCGGCGCCGACAAGCCCGCCGACGAGATCCGGCAAGAGATCTTGCGCAAGGGTGAGGTGCAGGTCGGCGAGCGCGAGCGGAAGGAGATCATCGAGCGCGTCGAGAAGGAGATTTTGGATATCGTGTCGGGCCGGCTGGTGGACCCCACGACGAAGCGCGTCTACACGCCCGGCATGATCTCCAAGGCATTGGATCAGTTGAGCTCGGCGAGCGGACAGCAGCAGACCCAGGGCCCGGCGCCCAGCGAGACGAACGGCGACGGCGACGAGAACCGCGGCGGCGGCGCCGCCCCCCGGAAACCCCTGTGGACGGGGGTCGCGGCGAATAAGTCGGCGAAGAGTCAGGCGCTCGATGCGATGAAGGCGCTGATCGCGTGGCAGCCCATCCCGGTGATGCGGGCCCGCATGCGCCTGCGGGTGACTTGTCCGGTGTCGTTGTTGAAGCAGAGCGTCAAGGTGGCTGGGGGTGCGGGCGGTGCGAACAAGGAGAGGGAGACGCCGCCCCCCAAGGGTGGTGCCAAGGGGAACAAGAAGGGTGGGAAGGGGTCGAAGAAGTCGGCCCGTCAGCAGGACTCCGAGGATGAGGCGGGTGGCTCGGACGCTGAGGCGGCGCCCGCCAAGGGTCCCAGCAATGTCAAGGACAAGATCCTCAGCTATATCGAGTCGGTGGAGGCGCAGGAGGTCGTGGGCGGTGACGAGTGGGAGGTCATCGGGTTTGCGGAGCCTGGCGCTTTCAAGGGACTGAATGACTTCGTTGGCAATGAGACCCGTGGCCGAGGACGCGTGGAGGTTCTTGACATGGCCGTTACCCACGAGGACTAAACCCAAGTGTGGTTGATGAGGGGGTATATGGACCGCATTTCACCTAAAGCCTGTATAGATGACATGACTGATGACCAGCAAAACACCGGATATGAAGTGTACGAGAACTATTCTGAGCATCCATCGGACATGTAGAGTCAGCAGTAGGCTCGTCGCACTGCATAGAAGTAGCCCGTCCCGGGACATGCGACAGCGACCGTTTCGGTACTCGCTGCCCTTCAACTACCCACCCACCATCATCCTAGTATATATCCTCCGTCTCACATAGCAGAGAGTGCACTAACAACCCCCATTCAACCTCATCACAAACAACGAACTGTGAGATACCGACAAGCACAATCCGACAAACAAAAAAAAAACACCTCACGCACCAACATCGCCACCGATATACGAGGTCCTCCTAGTACCTTCAAAGCCACCCCCTTCCCTCCAATATGCGCAACAACCTCAAGAAAAAGCCAAGCCCCAGATGCAACGCACGCAGTAGTTCATCTCCCTCAATCCCTCCCCTCCCCAACCCAAATTTTCGCCTCCCAAAAACCTTACAGCTTAGACTGCAGCATAGCATTTTAATCGATAACCCTGCCTATCTCTTCTTGGTTTCTTCATCCAGAATCCCCGCCTTTCCCCCCCCCCCCTTCTTCTCCGTCCCTTCCACCGACGCCGATCAGATAAACAAGTACTCACTCCTGCATAGATAGATAGTAGTTGCGGTCTCGGTCTAGCCAAGTCGACCGCCGGGCAGAGCTACGCCACCAGCTGGCTGGGCTTGGCATTTAGCCGTCGTTCTTAGTTGACCCAGGTATTCACTACTGGGTATTTAGTGCTTGCTTCTGTAGTTTTTGGCTTTTCTTTGCCCGCCTTACCCATCCATACCCAAGAGCCTGAACCCCCCAAGTGGCCAGGAATTTGGGTTGCGGGTGGCAGTGAGTGGGGGGCAAAAGAGGGGGGAAGGGAAGGAGGGGCGAGGCTACCTAGTACCGGTCCCTACCGTAGGGTTGGGGCTATCAATTCTAGGTTCTGGAAGCTAAGTTACTCGGTAACTTAGAACATAGTCTTACTTAAGTTAGTCAAGTTCTAGAAAGGCGAGGCTAAGTTAAGAGCTAAACTAAGCTAAATGTGTACCGGTATGGGTATGACTATGTGGACTATATGGATTGGAGTGAAGATGATGCGTGATGCGCTGAATGCCAAGAAGATGGGGGGGGGGAGATGTGCATGTGGAGTTGTGGATCTGGGGGAAAGGGGAAAGGGGGCAAAGTAAGAAGTTCTATTGTTTACTACGCTTTCTAGTCATTCATAGTGTTGCCAAAGGTGGAGACTACTTTCTAGGCATGATTGTCTCTCTCTATCACGAATTCGACTCACATCTTTGTGTAACTCATGGATGGGTACGGTTTGGGTAGGCATAGGCATAGGCATAGGCATGGACAGGGCTTCCCTACATGGAAATGGTGGCGAGGTCTGCAGGCTGCTACTACCTACAGGCTACGATGAGCAAGGATTAAGATTCTTGATTTCTTCATTCATTGGTCTACTGCTACCTGATGACAATGTTAGTGGTCTGCTGGGTAGATTTGGTAGAGTAAAAAAAAAAGCCATGTAGCTTGGGCTGTTGGTCTTTCTTCCTCTGCTTCACGAAGGTTGCTAGTAGTAGGCAAAACCCCCAAGCGAGTGAAGTACGGTAAGCATTTATGCAACACCGCCAGCAGCAGCAGCAGCAGGACCAAGCCGGTCGGCAAGAGAAACTTGACTGCAAAGGGTATACGCTCAATTGCAAATGCACAAAAGCATATAGAATATGCATAAGAAGCCAGGCGCTTTTCAACATTCGTTCGTCTCATGCGTGGAAAGTCAAATGTCAGCCGGCAGTGACGCTGGGCCAGTCAAATGCAATAGCCGACATGCCCCTCACGTCGTGCGATGCATGGATTCTGGACCCGAGGTCTTGGCTGATGGAAGTGACCGGGCGGTGGCCGGAGGATTCGGATTTCGGGCTCTCTCAAGGGCCCTTGTTGTTATGCGGAAAAGGAGTTGGCTGGGATTAAAATAGAAGGGTTGCGTGTAGAAGAGGTCGTAGTCTAGAGGTAGTAGGTTGTAGTGGAAGAACAAATGGATGGATCGTCGGGATGGCGGGCGCTCATTGGGTGAATGGCTCACGTGACGAGGAGAAGCGAAGATCTTGCCGGAAGTCGATGCGGTTATTAGGATAAATAGAAGTTCTAGTAGCAGATCTGCACGGCGTTCAACGCTCGTGTCAGATCCTCGGGGGCGAAGGGCATGCAAGCGCCCTTGGGCGACATTGGCGGCGGCGATATGGCCCGTACAACCGGAGAGGTGTACCGGATGGTTTCCTTCAGTAGGGCGATCGGGTCCTCCTGCTCGAGTTCCGGAAGGAGAGTCATCAGGGACTCGCTGTAGCTCTCTGGATCCACGGCCGTCGACGAGGTCGAGCCGCTGCTGTCTCCCTGGCGGCCTTGAGCGTACTCGTCATGGTCCACGGAAATCGAAGCTATTAAGATGGTCAGATCGCGGTCATCCTATAAGTCGCTGGGGCCAAAAGAAATGGAAGACGGAGTTGACCGCGAAGAAAGTGAAGAATTCCACATACCAGTCGTCACATCTACCTCCGGGGCCGTCGTTGGGATCTGATCCGGGGCCAGGTCTTCCTCGTAACATTGAGGTCTCAGGTAGTCCGGCAATGATGTACAAGGGGACAGCGACAGATCTAAAGACCGGCGTCGCTCTTCTTGCGTCCCTTGGAAAGACCATGCTGCGAGGCGCCGTTGGTGTTCGCGATCGAAGGGACCCTTGAATTTGGAGCGAGGAATCTCATGGCGCTTGTAATATTCGATCTTGATTCCGTTGCCCTTGGATTTGGATGAAGAGGATGAGCTGCTGCTCCGACGGAACACTCGTCGAACCTTCTCACGGAAATTCATTGTGACCGGAAGGTGAAGTAAGTAGTCGAGGTATGGAGGAAAGATATCGAGGTTGTGCAGGTGTGGAGATTAAGCGTTGACTCTGTTTAACTCCGCACCTCAAAGTGGTAACGGGCCTTTCCCAGTCGGAGATTGGACGCGAGGGAGAGTGTGCAAGCACAGACAACAATTGGAGAGATAAGCAAAGCCCGATCTCATCGTATGGCTAGAGTGAAGAGGGGAGGAGAGGAGAGAGGAGAGGAGATGGTTTGGAAATCAATAAGAAGGAAGAGAGGAGCGGAGAGGAGAGGCAGAGAGGGCGAAGTAAGAGCAAGAAGTAGCAAGAGAGGGAGGGAGGAGGGAGGGTTAAGGCTATGTGAACCGCAATGCGGGTATCTTAAGCAAGCAGCAGCAGTCAGTGTGAGAGACAAATCGACGACTAACTCAGAGGAGTAATCGAAATCGGGTGGACTCCATACCTATGATTCAATTCGAGGGGGGAAATTATTACTAGTTGGCCACGAATAAGTATCGCTGATTGGCACGAGGCGATTCAAGACACTAAGTCACTTCTGCCGTTTAGCCCCATTCCGCTAAGCGCACGGCGATAACAGTTTGAGTGGGTGTGAGAGAGAAAGTGGGATAAGAGCGATATGGAGAATTGGAGATTGGAGAGAAGAAGCGAGATCAGGAACCCATTCCACCACCATGGAGAGTAAAGGGTAGTGAAAGGGTCGATATTCTTGATAATATTTGGGTATCAAGGGCATGAAATGAACAACAAAATATAACAGACGAAAGAAAGAAAAAAGAGGGGGAAGAACCTACCATTTCACACAACTCCCCTAAATTAATTCACTCATTCAACTGTTGTCTCCTATCGATTTGCCTCGCTTGACTTGCAACAAGGTGGTGCTGGTGCTGGTGCTGGTGCAGCACTGGCCAGCCCTGACTCCACGGTTTTGGACCAGTCTGGTAAGCCGCGATTAGTTTACCAGTACCACCCTTTGCGCTCAACCACCTTGCCCCGGGCAAATCTGATTGTGCGGATGGGTAAGGTGAGATCCACCTGAGTGAGAAATGCGTGAATTAACACCGGCGACTTGGGTTGATGAGTGGTGGTGCTGCTGCTTCTAGTACAGTACAGCAATGCAGTGAGTGATATGTCACTAATCACTATGCTACTCTGTAGATGGATGGGATAAAGGGCTTCTGGATGGATCTACTCCCATGATAATACATATGTAGTATTAGTATTCATCCATCCTTTCTCCGCCGAGACTCCATTATTTCATCATGCATCGCCCCTCTGGATCTTCGAAAGTCCATCTGACCAGGATTACTTTTCTGCTCCTGCTGCTGCTGCATTGAACGGGTTGAATCATTCCGGGGATTGCAGCATGGGCGTCACGGTGCCGAAGTCCGGTTTTTCCCACATCCTTCCAGTTTCACCCTCAGGGCTGACTAACTACTCATCTTCCCCCAATCACCGCGAGTCAGAGCGAGTTTGACTGACGGTCGGGGTTGCATTCGCTTGGATATCGCAAGTCTCGAGGTACGACGGTCCGGCAACAACGACCATGGTAGCGTTGCCTTTACTACTGGTTCTACGCCGACCTGGAACGATCCCGAATCAATTCCGGTGCTGGGTGGTCCTTTGATAGACCCCAGTCGGGGCACGAGCTCTCCCATACCATTGACGGGCAAAGCATGCACCTACAGGTGGCCCATTCTGGTGAATACCGGGTGGGTGACAGTGACAGTGACACTCTACGTACTGTACAGTGCGAACCGCACCCACCGGACAGGCCGAAAGTGAACCAAGCTGTATCCCTGGCATGGAAGTAAATGTGGCAAAATGGCAAACAATCCTACCCCATCCTTTTCCTCCTCGTTCTCGTTCTGGTCCTCCACCCTCCGCCTCATAAGTCCAAATGGCCCAGGCTAGGCTGGGCCAGGACAGCGAGACGGGGGGGAGAATAGACGCAAGGTTTGTGTCTCTGTCGTGGCCGGTGCTGCACCGAACCTTTCCAGAAGAATGGCCAAGACGTTCCGATCGACGTGCCACCACCACCATCCATCTCATCCCTGCCAGGGATCCTGGTGAATTTGGCAGGCTCTGAGCGGCCGACTGGTGTCTAGGGGTATAACAGGTGGTAACCGACATCATCATCATCATCATCATCATCATCATCATCATCATCATCATCATCATCATCATTCTCCATCGACCGTTTCCTTTGTTGGTTGCGTGGCGGCTGGAACGGACTTTCTGAAGCGGGCAGACGACGGATTCAGACGAAACGTCAGTTGCCGGAAGGAGTCGGACGGTGGCACTGAGATAGATAACCCGTACCAAACCTCCTCGCCGTTCCTTCCGTGAGGGACTCTATCATAGATTCTGAAAGCGATAACAATATGTAATGGGAATCGCACATAGAGAGGACCTAACCGGATTCAGTTGCGGTGACGAGAAATAATGCGCGAATCAACGGACTGGGATGGCAGAGAGCGCCGACTGCCCCGCTGGATGTCCCGAGGAGTTGCCTCCACTCGGCACGGTACTTCCGATTGTTCTTTAGTAATTGGGCTGTATTGCAAGCTTGGATGCTCCCAAACAATAGCCAGGCCGGCTGGCCCAATGGTAAGGCGCTTGACTACGAATCAAGAGATTGCAGGTTCGAGCCCTGCGTCGGTCAATGTTTTTGTGTTTTGACTCTCACCTCTGTCTGTGTTGAGTCCGCCAAGAAACAGTTTTTCTTTTTCTAGCTCTAACCAACTCAGCAGCAAGTTGTTCCATGTAAGGGAGCCATCGCAGAAAAAGAGGCTGACTGGCCGGGCAATGTTCCGATGATATGATGTCATCATCACCAACCGCCCATGGGGTAACGGGGTAAACCTTTCAGCCTTCTAGAAGCCGCATTTTCTTTCCAGCATCATTTCTCTCGGGTACGAATACATAAGGTTCAGTGACATGGCATTCAACGAGATGCACTTTCCCACTGATAAGAGCATGGCATGAACCAGGTACTCCCGAGAACAGCCTGAAACTGTTTGCGGGCTCATCCTACCCTCATCCGTCGGATTGCTGGCTGAATGTGCTGGAGCGGTATGTGGCTATCCTCGTGGTGCGCATCAATCCGTCGAACATGGCACTGACTGCGACACGTTTGGTATCCCCATTGTTCCCCCAGCTCAGACAATCCCCCGATGTCTCTAGCCCCAGTCCATCGAGCAGATCCTGAAACCGGCGACATTCCGGAGACAAATTGGTACTCTGAATCCGGCTACACTTCGCATGATGTAATCGATCCCGCGCGGACTGGTGAAGGGCAGCGTAGGCCGAGAGAGATCGTCTCGCCCTGCTCTTGGCCCTACGGTCTATGACACGTATATCTGCTCGTAGACATGAGTATGAACGAGGTTGAGGAGCTTTCTCTTCCGGTTATCTCCGGTGCTCTCCCTTCTTCCAGATCTCAACCTCACTCTACTGTACAGTACTGATGCTTGCTGATGCTTTGGTACAGTAGTGTACTGTACATGTGTACGGAGTACATGTATTGCACTTGCAGCAGTGCTTGGCATACCTTAGCTTCTGTTCCCTGCTATAGTGTCGTGATCCCTTGCCTGGTTGGGACAGAGCAACCGGAACAACGGCTGTTCCGGGCGATCGGCTGAAGACGGTTGGCAGCCTGGCCTCTCTTCTTACTGCAGGTACGGATTAATGTCGCCGGAATCAGGGGGGGGGGAAGAACGGGGGTTTTGCGCCTCAATCATGGAATCTATCAGTCGCTGCGCTTTTGAAGAATTGAATTGAATCTTGCGCTAGCATTCTCTAACAATGAGAGAGCTCGAGGGATCAAACCTGCAACCAGACCCTCCCGTTCGTTGTTCTCTCTTCACTCCCATTGCGGAAACAACAATAGATCCCCCAGCTTTGCTTCACTGCTCCCCCCAGTAAATGATAGCTCCTGGTCGATCGCATGAAATCTAATCATGGCTGAGAGCAGAAGCAGATTTCCCTATAGCTTCTTGAATCATGCCTCTCGTTACAGCTCAGCTCAGCGAAGCTACTCACCTAGGCCAATTGCTCTCGTAGACGTCGCAATCGTAACCAGCTTAAGATTTGGACCCGCAAATTCCTTCCTGTCGCATGGTGTACAGGTTAACGGAGTAATTTTATTGTCTTTACCCTCCTCCCCTGCGACGCGACACCCTCCCTCCCTCCTCTCCCCTCCTCCTCCCTTCTCCCGTCCCTCTAGATTTGTCGATGCACACACCTCTGTCTACACCAAATCGCACCATTCATTGAGGCGCCTGGTCTGAGCTTCTCGATTCTAGTCATTACTGGTTACAGTTAATGAGTGTTGAGAATACTAACCTTGAACTACTATAGCCCTGCCCTGCACTTCCCGGGGCCACAACTCCCCCACGGATTAACGTTCCCCGATTTGATTAGACATTCGGAAAGGACCAACATACCTGCTGCCCGCCCCTAACTTCTTCCACTTTGCCAGTCTGCGCGACTTCTTCTTAATCTCCCCCATCGTGGACAGCACGACCTTTCAGATCCTGTGTCATCCACCTTCAATCCTATCCTCACCCTCCCCGACCAAAAATCGTGAGTCCTCAACTGCTGCTCCCTACCTAGTAACAAGCATTGTCCATCTTCCTCTGAAGAGCCTGTCTCTGACCGCTTGCCCACGGACCACCACCCACAGGTTTGATTTGCGCACAATGGCGAAGAAAGGAGGAAAGAGCAAGAACAAGAGCAAGTCCAAGGGTGGCGCTGCCGCCGCGAAGAAGGTTGCCGACACTCCGGCCGCGGTGTAAGTGATGATGCATCCTGTCAACCGCACAAATTCTCTTTTTCGCGCTGCGCTAACGCGACAATTTTCTTGTTCTCAGCGTACCCGAGCAGGAGGTCGAGGAGACCGTCACAAAGAGCGATGCTGAGCCCGAAACCGTGGTCACCGATGCTGGCGCAGCTGTGACGGCCGATGCTACCACCGCCCTTCCCGACACTGTCGCTCAAGGCATCACCACTGCCCCGCCTGCTGACCTCGCTCCGGAGGCATCCACCGCGGACGACGCCTCTCTTCCTAAGGTCGACGAGCCTGCCACCGATGTTGTCACAGAGGAGGAGCCTGTTACGGTGGCCGGATTGAGTAAGCCATTGATTGCTGCTTGTTGCCTGTATATTTCTTTTCTCTTTGCGGACTGATCGCTGACTTGTATCTCCCTCGCTGTCGCAGCCACTACTACCTTGCCCGAGCGCCCCAAAGATACTGCTGTGGAACCGGAGAGCCAGGACCATCATGCGAAGAGACCCTATGAGAGTAGTCTGTTCCATAAGGAGGAAGACCACAAGCCGCCCAAGATCCCCAAGGTCGAGGATGACTTGGATGCTACCACCTCCGCTAAGGCTGTTGAGCCCGTCGGCCAGGATACCGTTGGCGCGGCTGCCCTTCCTGCTGGCGAGACCATTGTGCAGCCCCAAATGGTACCGGGTCTGGGCACTGACCCCTCGGACAACGTGGATCAGTTGGAGGCCCCAGAGCTGAGCAAGGACACGGCCGCTCCTGTCGAGGCTGCCGCTACTATCCCCGACGCCGCCAAACCCGCAACCACGGACGCCGTGGTTGACAATGCCGCCTCTGAGACTGTTGCTCCTGTCTCCGCAGCCCCTGTCACTGATGCCGCAGCCCAGCCCGAAATTATTGGCGCTAGCGAAGCCCCTGCTACCGAGAAGCTCGACGCCCCTGCTGATGTCGCCCCTGCTGATGTCGCCCAGACTGATGTGAAGCCCGAGACTCTGGAAGAGGCTGCTGGGGAGACGTCGAAGGAGGAGACAGCTCCAACTGAGCCTTTGACTACCGCACCAGCTGCCGAGCCGGCTATTGTTGTCCCTTCCAGCATTACGGACGCGGATACGAAAGCCACTGATGCGGCTGTAAAGTCCGCAGCCGAGTCTGCTCCAGCCACCGAGGCCCAGGAGCCTCTGCAGGCTGCGGAAGAGAAAGCGGACACAGCTAATGCTGAGGTCCCAGCTGCTGCCAAGGCTAACGCTCCGGAAGAGAGTGCTGCTGCATCGAAGGTAGAGGAACCTCAGCCCCAGACCACCGAATCTCAGCCGGGTTCCGCTACCAAGGATGCGCAGAAGACCGACGAGGTTCCTTCATCAGAGATCAAGTCCGAGCCCCAGGAGACCCCAGCTGTGCAAGACACGCAAGCTGCGGGAGCCACGGAGGGAACCACTGAGGGAACCACGGGCGCTCAAGGGCCCGAGAGCAAATCGGCGGCCGACCAGGGCAAAGATACGGCCAAGCTGGCTGCCAACCGGGCTCAAGAGTCTGCCAAGTCCGAGGCTGCAAAGGGCAATGCCGAAAAACGCAAGACCGGTCTCTGGTCATGGCTCAAGCGCAAGGTCAAGGGCGACAAGAACTAGACCCTGTGAGCGATGTATGACCCAAATGCCAAATGGCTGTTGGGGCGGTCGGAAATGGTTTCCGACCCCCTCTCCCTTTTTATACTCTGATACCCAAACATGGACGGACGGACAGTACTTAATCATTCTGGAACACAATCGAAAAAAACTCAAAAATCAACAAGGCACAAATGACGATATAGAAAAGAAGAAACGAAAGGGAACTGGGAAATTGCCGTCTGATACCCAGAGTGGGTGGTCGGACCGCGCTTGTACTCGAATATGACTTGGGCGGCAGGAACTGTTGGGAGTCAACGCCATGGATGACTGTAATGCACTGGGCTGCATTTGTTTACTTCTTGTGATGTCTCTCTTGATGGATTCCATGTCTCCCTGTCCCCTTGGGATCGGAGTTGAGAATGGCACGATCGATACGGTACTTTTTGTTAATGGTAATGGGGCTGGGGGGTGAAGAGAATGAGATATTTATTGTACACGTGTAATGTTCTTTTGGATTGGGAATGCGTAGAGGCGAGGAGTGCTTGTGAGTCTCACTAGACGGCTCCAAGTCGAGTACCAAACAATAGCAATCTGTCCTCTTGTGAGAGATTCAAGTCTGGTCAGCATGGGGAATATTACTTTAGGGTGGGGAGAGGGAGAGAGGACAGGCAAGGAAAGGCAGAGAGGGGGAGGAGACGGAGATGATTTCACCGCCATTTCTTCCCCCGTCGTTACTTTCTCTAGTCTATCCTACGGAGTATCAACGCTCGACTATTTCTTCACTATCATCGATACTATTGCTCTACAATTGCCAGGGCCCCTCTTTGTTGCGAACTAGCAGGCTAGCGGTGTCCATCACCCGTTGCGAGAGAGATTCTATTTATTCCTTTGCCCTTCTGGATGGGGCCCCTGATGGAGACCTGGTACCGAAGTTCCCCGTCGGCGACAAGCACACCAGCACCACTAGAGCATTGAAGATAAATCTTCCTGCAAGTGAATACACAACATACTCGGACATATACCATATACATCACAAACTTTGGGGTACTTGTCAATCGCTTGATCTTGATTTTGACCACAGGGATGCTTATCTCGGACCAAATGACATCGACCTGACATAAGGACAAGTCAACGAAGCTGGAGCAAAAGATGATATCACCGCTGGTTATGCCTCTCCACCCGCCCCACGAGACAACCACCAATCTTTCTTCCCAACATCGTGGCTGAGACCATATCCACTCGTTTCCCCCTTCCATCCGATCCAGGTCAAGCTTTCCTCAAGCTTTTAGCGCTGGATTGTACCTCGTCCTGATCCATTATTCGCTCAATTGCCAATCGAGAGGGAGAGATGAGGGGGGAAACACGAAGAGGGGCAGCCCCTCTACGTACTCAGTACCACCAGTACGAGTGATTAGTCTGCCGAGGTGTGCTGCCGTCCCGGGATCGCCTGGAATTGCGACCATCTAGGGGACTCCCCGAAAACTTGCGATCACTGAATGATGGACGATGGCCAGAGGTTGTCGTCCCTGACTGGCTGTTTTTGCCCTCCTGGGGCTGAGACCAACAGCCACTTGTGGTCTTTCCTCTCCACTCGTGTTGTCTGAGGCTTGAGCTGACGGGCTGATGCCGCCCACTTCCCTTCCCCTCTCCGACGAAACGAGCAGGGTAGGACCTCCTGGCGGCGCGTCAACCCATTCCCTTCTCTTTATTGACTGATTTCTGGTGTGCGCTATTTAAAGTCCCTGGTCTGCTGCTGCCTGAGCTGTCCTCCTCTTTTTTTTTTTTTTCTTTTCCTCCTACATCCCTCTCTGTATCCTTCATCTCCTGCATCCCACTACGTCATCATGGTTCATCTCGCCCAAATCAAGCGCGATAGCGATATCGAGCAGTCCATCAAGCGGGTCAACTCGATCAAGCTCGATAGCGCTGAGGAGGATGACTTCTCTACCAGTGTCTATGGTTCTCGCTTCGCGACAGAGCAGCTGCCCCAGCATGAGATGCCAGAGCGCGAGATGCCTAGGGAGGTCGCCTACCGCATGATCAAGGATGAGCTGAGCTTGGATGGTAACCCCATGCTCAAGTGAGTGGTCTCTAGTGCTTCGTTCGTGAGTTGATGGATGGCTAATGACTCCTTCTCCCCTGACAGCTTGGCGAGTTTTGTGACCACCTACATGGTAATTTCGTCTTGACCATACTCTCTGGGACGTGACTGATAGTCATAATAGGAAGACGAAGCCGAAAAGCTCATGGCCGAATCCTTCAGCAAGAACTTCATAGATTACGAAGAATACCCTCAGTCCGCAGAAATCCAGAACCGCTGTGTGAACATGATTGCCCGTTTGTTCAATGCCCCCACTGACAGTGATGATGAACACCCGATGGGTACCTCGACCATTGGTTCTTCCGAGGCTATCATGCTGGGTACCCTGGCCATGAAGCGCCGGTGGCAGAACAAGCGCAAGGCCGAGGGCAAGGATTACTCGCGCCCCAACATTGTCATGAACAGCGCTGTCCAGGTCTGCTGGGAGAAGGCTGCTCGCTACTTTGACGTGGAGGAACGGTACGTCTACTGCACGGAGGATCGCTATGTGATTGACCCGAAGGAGGCGGTTGACTTGGTGGACGAGAACACCATTGGTATCTGTGCCATTCTGGGCACTACCTACACCGGCGAGTACGAAGATGTGAAGGCCATCAACGACCTGCTGGTGGAGCGTGGCATTGACTGCCCCATCCACGTGGACGCGGCCAGCGGTGGTTTCGTGGCTCCCTTCATCCACCCCACCCTCAAGTGGGATTTCCGCCTGGAGAAGGTCGTGTCGATCAACGTGTCCGGCCACAAGTACGGCTTGGTGTACCCTGGTGTTGGATGGGTGGTCTGGCGCTCGCCCGAGTATCTGCCTAAGGAGCTGATCTTCAACATCAACTACCTTGGTGCGGAGCAGGCCAGCTTCACGCTCAACTTCTCCAAGGGAGCGTCGCAGGTGATCGGACAGTACTACCAGATGATCCGACTGGGTAAGCGGGGCTACCGGTCGATCATGGTGAACATCACCAAGATTGCCGACTACCTGGCCAGCGAGTTGGAGAAGATGGGCTTTATCATCATGAGCCAGCGCGGCGGCAAGGGCCTGCCGCTGGTGGCTTTCCGTCTGCGGCCGGACCGCGACGAGGTGTTCGACGAGTTTGCGGTGGCACACCAGTTGCGTGAGCGTGGCTGGATTGTTCCGGCGTATACCATGGCCCCCAACAGCAACGCCTTGAAGCTGATGCGGGTGGTGGTGCGCGAGGATTTCAGCATGAACCGCTGTGACGCGCTGTTGGCGGACATCAAGCTGGCTATGAGCACCTTGAGCGAGATGGACAAGACCATGTTGGAGCGCTACACTAAGTAAGTGAATTGGTGGAACCCTGCAAAGCTGACTGTACGCTAATGAGATTCTAGACACGTGCGCCAACATGCCACCCACTCGCACAAGGCCAAGCACACCCACCACCACTACAAGAACGAAACCCACTCGTTGCAGGGCAAGACGGGTAAGACTCACGGTGTGTGCTAGATGCTGCCCATCGTATGCAATGTAAATAATGGTTTGAGAATTGTTTGAATAATGGAACTGGCATCTGAAGACAATCCATCCTTTGGGGCTGACACAGTAGTTAACTTATAAGTGACTATACATACATACATGGGGCTCTTAGTATCAGCAGTATCAGCCACTAAATCTGGGGGCGAGGCAGTGTTGAGAGACAAGCGTAAGCAGCAGCAGAGCCGAGGCTGGGTATTTAATTCGGGGTTTCGCAGTCACTGAACACAGATCCTTGACTTGGCTTGCCAATTGAGAGTCTTTCTTTGCGCCCCATCTCGTGTCACAGGCGCCAATGAGGAAGAAATAGTTGGTTGTACCGAGATTGCTGCTGCTGCTATTGCTGCTGCTGTTGCTGTTGCTTGCCAGTTGATGAGCTTCTCGCTGCCGCTTTTCCTCCCCGCTCTTTGCTTCTCACTCTTCTCTTTCATACACCAACTTACTTAGCAAGTTAGCATCTTCTGCCTCTTCTTCTTCTTCTTCATTCATCCTTCCTGCTGCCTTTTGTCTCTCCTCCATTTCTCTCCCCTTTCCATCTCCATGCCCCTCTTTCGCCGCAAAGCCAAATTGCCTGCCGCTGTCGCGTCTGCATTCCGATCGGTTGAGCATCTTCCCCCTCGCGTCGAGCACCAGCACCACCACCAGCAGCACCCCGACGATCGGCCCCGTCGCTTGTCCTCGTCTTCCTCTGCTTCCTCCTCCACCGCCCGCGATCCTTCTTTGCCTGAGCCTCAGCCTCAGCCTCATCATTCCCACGCCTACTCGCATCCTCATTTTCAGTCTCAGTCCCACTCATCTTCCCCAAAACCTCCTCCCTATTCTGCTACTGCTGCTGCCCCTCTCCGACGCAGCAAGAGTCACCGCAGCCCCCGCGAGAACACCCATCCGGTATGAACGAACACTACTACTCCATCCACCCGTATCGGGTCTCCCTCTGCTTTACCTCTCTATCTACACACCACACATTATTTTGCTGACGGACAGACCTCAGTCGTGGCCCCTCCCCGACCAGTCTCACGAGCAGGAACTTCAGGAACCACGCAAGTCTCGCCGCAGCCTCTTCTCCTTGCATTCTTCTGCCACCACAAGCGACTCAGTGCAGCGGAATCGGTCGGTCAAGAAGTTCTCCGCCGCCGGTCGCCGGAATAAGCATCAGCGACCGTTGTCTATCGACACCAGCTCCGACTGCCGTCCCGCTACAGCCTGGACACCTGAGCATGATCTAGACGGCGCCTATTCCCCACCGTCGTCGCAAGAACATATACACCCGCACGCCCAGTCGCAGCCGCAACTGCAATCGTGGCCGCAGCCACAATCGCAGGTAGGACAACTTCCGGTTCAACCACGGTTGGAGCAGCCCCCGCAGCCGCTGCCACAAGATCTATCGTCACGACCCCCATCCCAGGAACATCTACCGCCTCAGCTACGATCGGGAGTTCACGTCCCTCGCTGGGATTCACAACCACCACCACAGCGCCAGCCGCAGCCGCAGCCGCAGCCGCAGGCCCAAACCCAGCCTCGTCCACATCCTTCGTTACGAGCAGGCCCTCCTCCCGCCTCGTTCCACATGCCGCAGAACACCGTGCCGACACTGGAAACCCGACCGCCCCGCTCCCCGCACTCTACCATCCAACGATCCAATACCGATTCGGGCCTGCTCGACCACCTCGCCCGATCGTCTCCTATTGATCCACCCCGTATACACCACGGCGAATTGGCCCCGACGCAGCCTCAACTAGACCCAACGGTGGGAGCTCGCCCGCCGTCCAGACAGTCTGTCGGACCCCCGTCTCCGTTGCGTCAACAACTGCCTCCCACACAGCCCGACTCCCCCGGCGGTATGACGGATCGTCCTTCAGGCGTGCTGCAGGCCAGCAGCAACAGCAACCAACCTGCCTCTGGCGCCAGCCACACCTTGCACGCGTCGAGCAACCAGTCCGATACCGGATATCGGACCAACACCGCCCAACCCAGTGCCGACGCAGGACGCAGCACTCCAAGTGTGCGGGAGACCCGCGACGCGCGGCGAGAAGCTCGCGATGAGCCAAGCGACATTGACGTGCGCGCTTTAGTGCAGAAACATGACGAACTGCGTACGCTTTTCATCATCCTCCCTCCCACCGTTCCATGATCTAACATGCCGTTCCAACAGAGGCCAAATACTCCAAAGTCAAACGGTACTACTTTGAAAAGGAAGCCCAAGTGCAGCACCTGCAGAACACGGTGGCGCACCAACGCATGGCGGTCTCGCGCACCGTGCTGGACGACAACGAGTACGCCAGCCGCTTCTCCCGGCTGGACGGGGCGATCAAGGACCTGGCGTTCTCCATCCGCAAGGACTGGGCGCGCCTGCCCCCGTGGCTGACCGGCTACGTCAGCGACGACGCGCACACCACCGGCACAAAAGAGATGACGGCGATCGGCCGCGCCGTGATGAGCCGGTGGCTGGTCGAGGAGGTCTTCGAGCGCTACTTCCACCCGGGCCTCGAGCCGGCCCTCTCGCGGGCCCTCAAGGACATCGAGATGACCCTCCGCCGCCAGCAGGTCCAGGCGACCGCGACGACGGACGAGGACCGCGAGAACGCCGTCGCGCGCATCAGCAACTGGCGCCGCACCACCCTCGACGGCCTCCCCGAGCTGCAGGCCGGCGGCGCCCAGGCCGCCGACTTCCGGGCGCGGCTCATCGACCGCCTCGTCGGGAGTTTAGTCGCGACCCTGACGGCATACATGCGCCTCGAGACGGGCCCGACCGGCTCGACCACGCCCACCGCTCCCCCCGGCTTGGACACCGGCGCCCGCATGATCGTCGAAAACGCGATCGGCATCGCGGAGAAAATCCCCCTCGAGTCCCGGGACATCGTCGTCGAATACATCCTCCCTGGAACTGCCCTCAACGAAGGCACCATGCGCGTGGAATCGGGCATTCCACCTTTACCCCCGCAGCAGCAGCAGCAGCAGCAGCAGCAGCAGCAGCAACAACAGCAGCGATCAACGGGCACCTCGTTGGAGATCGATCGTGCCGCGACAGCAGCAGCATCGGAAGGAGCAACGACCATCCCTGATGACATCGACATGGACAACGCCGGCGTATTAGGCGCAGCAGGCATCGCCCCAGCTGGTGCTGGTGCTTCTGGTGCAGCACTAGCTCCCCCGACCGGCCCGACCGACCTCTCCGCCGCTCCATCTGCCCCAAGAGGCGGTAGCAGTGGGGGCGGCGGTGGCAGCGGTGGCGCAAGCGGCGAGCGAGAATCCCGCAAACGGTCGATGTTCAGCTCGCTGATGGGTCGACGGACGGGTCCTGCTGCCGGGGGGGCTGCCGCTGCTGCCCCAGGTAATGCTGGCGGTGCGGCAGGCCCGGGCACGGCAACCGGACCAGCACCCCCCGGTGTGAATCTCCCGACGGGTCCCGGGTCCGTCTCCAACGTGACCATCCCGGGCCCGACTGCTTCTGCTTCTGCTTCTGCGCCGTCGGCGGCGGGCAGCGCGGCACCCGAGGACCGCGAGCGACTGGCGCGGATCCGGTTCTCCTCGTTCGTGCTGGCGGAGGTGCGTGGGCGGGGCCCGCAGAATGTGCTGGTCAAGGCGCCTGTATATATCGAGTAAGTAGGAACGAAAAGAATGGCGGGTCGGGTCATCTCCTTCGACGACACCTACATCCCTGTCAGCGGAAGGAGGTTGCGGGCTGGAGATTCTGGGTCGGTCAGAGTATGAAGTCTATGAAGTCTACGGTATGGTGTCGTGTAGATTGTACAGGTGAATGTCAATGTCCATGTCAATGTCCATGTCAATGTCCATGTCAATGTCCATGTCAATGAGATTCGATGAAAGGGAATGAAAAAGGAAGTAGTTATTAGACAAGGTATCTATGATCTTTTGACTTCTAAAGTCTATATATCGAGGCAAGCTCTGATGAATCAAGGGCCATGATGCTCAGCATTGATGGTTTTGTCGTGATGTGTCCTGCACAATAGTCGAGAAGGCTCTGGTCATATCGAATGACCGTCCGTCCCGACTTCTTTGGGGAGCCGTTCTCAATCACCCGCCGCGGAAGGGGCGAGAGACTCCTTCCAGATGGCGTAGCCCACCATCTCCAGCAGATACCGCTCGCGGTAGGCGAAGCACCTGGTCACGTTCCCGACGAGAAAGGCCTTCATCTTGCGGACGAGGAGGGTCTGATCCGTGCAGCGGGTGAGGAGGTCATCCGGGTGGAGGGTCACTTCAGCTGCTACCACGGGAGCAGCTTTCTCCGCTCCTCCTCCTCCTGAGGAGCCTGTGGACGTGGATCGAGGGGCGACGGCATTGGGGCTTGTGTCTGTCCCCAGCCCCAGGATGGTGTCTAGTTCTTCCTCGGTCGTTTTGGTCGTGGGTGATGGACGTCTGCGGAAGCGGAGAAGATCCCACACCCTTTCGGAGAAGGACGGGCCTTGGCTCTGGCTGTCAATGAGCCAGACGCAGAAACTCTCCCAGAGGTTGTGGTGGATAATGAAGGCGAGGAGGGTGGTGGCGGTGAGGGTTGTGATCCCCGGGAGCTGGAGCGTTCGGAGGATCTTGGTTTCTTGGTGGCTGCTGTCGTCAGCGCCAGGATTCGGAAGTTCGGTGGTGTGGAGCAGGGCACGATGCATTTCGCTGACGTAGGCGAGCTCGGTGAGGAGGATGGAGAGGGCGTCTTCGTTGGGCTTGTCGGGATCCACATCTTCCTTGTGATGAGCGAGTGCATCGGGAGAGGGGAAAGGTGAGGGTGCGGTTGGAAATGAGGGGTGAGATTGACCCTCGGGGTGATCTGCGGAGGAGTCGTCTTCTGGGATGGTGGTGCGGACGGTATTTGCAGCCGTGGCAGTGGCAGTGGTGCACAACTCCGAGTCGAGCCCGGTGGAGAAGGTCCCCAATGATCGGTCGTAGCCCAGTCTTGCTCTCCAGAACACATTCAGGAGGATCAGACTCACAATGCACGGCACCAGGACCACGTACCCGTACCACATGGTCGCCGTGACCATGCTCGCCGCACCAGCCACCACGCCGTTGACCCCGTTGACCACGGCATGGAGCTGCAGGGCCCGCATGCGAGCACGGACCTTGTTCTTCAGCGAGGCCGGCAGCTCGTGTTGCAGCCGGCGAGTTTGATTCTCGTCCGTCGCACAGGGCTCCGCCGAGGCAGCGCACGCCGTCCAGCACCGCTGGAACCGCCACACCAGATATGCTGACCAGATCGCATTGACGAGGCCGAAGCCAGCAGCCAGCCCATTGCCCACGTACCCCGACAATAGATTACTGGCGCGGTAGATGGTCCGGTCGGCGCCCCAGATCGCGAGCAGGGTGCCGATTCCCACGAGAAGGGCCCCAATTCCCATGAGGAGATCCATCAGAATGCGATCGATGACTTCGGTGAGGACTTCTCGAGTATTGACGCCGTGCTTGTATTCATTGAGCGTGTCGATGGTGGATCTCTCGCTGGATGGGGTCGGTCTGTGAGCGTGGTCCTTGGTGTGGTCGGATGCACGGGCGGAGATGCTCTCGGCGAGAAAGGCTTTCTCTTGCCGCAACAAGCGCACATTGGCCGCACTGAGGTACATATCCCGGGCTGCGACCAGGGTCATGCACAGAGCGCAGGGCCCGCCAATCGCCATCAGAATCTTGGCGTGCAGGGGTACGGGGATCTCGTTCCAGACATTGGCGGCAAAGTCGGCCGCATTGGCTAGCTCTAGGTATCCGACGCCCGCGAGGAGAGAATTGCGGAACAGAGGCTGGTGGAGGATGCGGTATTTGTGTTTGCTGGCAGGAAGACGGGGGCGGGGGCGGGTGCGGGTGAAGGTCACGGCGTTGGGGGTGTAGGAGAACGAGCGGGCGCTGGAGCTGGTGAAGGTGGAGGAAAAGGTGAGGTCGGTGGATTCACGGAGGAGCTTGGGGGTCAGAAGGCCAGGTTCGGGGGGGGCCATCGTGTGTGTGCCACATAGATAAAGAGATGACACGAGACGGGCACACACAGGTTGAGAGAAGGTGAGGTAGGAGGAGAGAGAGGGGAGAGAGGGAGAAAGAGAGAGGAAGGGAAAGAAGGGGGAGAGAGAGAAGAGAAGTGGGAAGAGCAGGAAACGTGGAGAGAACAGGGAAGAACGACCGGATTGGGAGAGAGGAAGACGGAGAGTGGGGCCCTCGCCCTGTAGGGCTGAGCCGATGATCCGTGCCTATTTTCGGCTTTTCTCTCCTTTTTCTTGCAGGTCCAAGTCAACTAGTCAAACAGTAGTTCTTCTATCTATCTTACATATACGCACACCATTTTTACTAATTATGTTGACTCACTGACTAACCACCGAAATCGCCAGCTCATTCCCGCACAGGCCGCACCATTGACGCCTGAACATGTCCCTCCACCACCTCGTACTCCTTCACCACTTGAAATCCATACTTCTCATACAACCGTCGGCCCTGAGGGGTCGAGGCCAAGAATGTATCCATCCCAGCTTCATCCGCCCGGTGTAGCCCCCATCGCAAGAGCTGCGACCCCAGTCCTCGTCCATTGTAGTTGGGGTGGGTTGCGAGCATGTCGAGATCTGTTTTGATTATGAACTGTGAGTGCGGGCTCATTGAGTGGGCCATCCAGCCAGGAGGTAGCCGAGGAGGAGAACTCACAGTAATACTTCTTGGCCCCCATGACCTCCCACTTCTCCTGATCCATCTTCCCGAAAAATTCCTCACACAATTTCTGATCGGAGCTTGGGGGCCATTTCTGCGCGAGACTCTGCTCGTCGAGCTGTGGTGGCTGGGGTTGCTGCTGCTCGCCGGCATACAGCTTCCACTTGGCAAAGGCTGCAATCACCGGATCCCTCTGGCTCTCGTCCACGATTTTGAGGATGGCACTGCCGGATGCGGGTTTCCCGGTCTCCTCCAGGTCGCGGGTGAATGTCTCGAACCACCAGGTGCGCACATCGTCGGTTAGGGGGAATAAGCGCCGGTTGAAGGCGTCGGAGAAGGAATTGAGGAATACGTCGGTCAGCTGGAAGGCATCTGAGGGGGTAGCAGGGTGGAGATTTAAGCTGGCATTGCTGCTGCTGCTGCTGCTGCTGCTGGTGGCGCGGGTAAGGATGACGGCCGGTCGGAGAAGGCGGTAGGGCTGACGAACGGAGGAGCTGATCGCAGCGGAAAGAGGCGTGGACGTCATCGTCGTCGTTGTTGCTGCAGGATTGGACTCAAGCTTGTTCGGGTATTGCTGTTGCGACTGGTATTCATCCAGCTAAGTGATCCCTGCAAATTTTGTTGCATGATGGAGAGTTGTTGTTAGTCATTGACATCATTGAGCTCGGATTGCTTCCGATGTTCCGAAGTTGGGATGAAGTAATGAAAGAGAGTGAAAGGGAAAAAGGAGAGCAAAAAGACCAAGCGATCCAGCGATCCTCCCCGAGACTCAAGAAAGCTTGGCTATTTGTTGACTCAGCCATCGACACAACCAACATAACTCAACACCCACCACCACAATACTAATCCAATTTAAGCTTCTGGTGTGACTGCGCCCGTTCCTGGCTACTTGCTGAGCTAGACCAGGCTGCAATTTTCTTCTTTCTGAGCGGATTCTCGGAAAACCATGCGTCACGGTCCCCGCGGCCCCCGACGCTGCTGCAGTGACGGCCAACTTCCGGGAGCCGTGTAGGGCAGACGCGAGCAACAGACCCAAAAAGACCCTTTCTTCTGTTGTTCTGCAAGGCCCACCCGCATAGATTTTCATTGTCCGACAAGGACTCGACACCGTAGGCAGCCATGTTTTGATTTCTCCGACCCTGACACGCACTCCCCAATCAGGATACGATTACGGTGCTACCCCATTGGGACGAGCCTCAGTCGATTCGTTGTACATCCATCCATCTGTGGACTACAGACGAGGGATTGTCTTCACGCCACCCCCCGAGAGACTATCAGATGAGGTCAGGACAGTCGACGGGAATAGCATGTAGAATGACATCGTCCGTCCGACCACCCCTCAGTCAACAACGTTTCCAGAGCCAGCCAATTGTGCCGTCATCATTATCCATGGAAGGCTGCAGAGGCGGCCATCTCAGGCGCCAGATCCTAAGCTAGGCTCGACTCCCGACCCACTGGCCAGGGTTCACGGCCCTTGTTATGGATTCCAATGTGTAGAATGGTCTGTTTCTGGCTAAATTGCCGCCCAAAGCCGATGCACATAAACCAGGTTAGGAATGAGGCAGTACTGGGGGGCTGAGAGGGCTTTGCTGGAGCCTGGCGCCATGCTCGTTCTCTTTCGTCTGTCGTCTCCTTTTCTTCCTCGTCTCGCCTCGTAGTTATTCAGGAATTCATCCCCATTGACTTTCTGTACAGATCGGTGCTGAACGAGTGTCGCCATGTCTTCATCCACCTCCTCGAGTGAATCTCCCAAGCAGAGCAAGAGAGCAAGGAAGCAGCAGAAGAAGTCGAATGGCACAGCTACGAGTACGTGGGAGAAACCAGCCAAGGTTCTGTTAGCAGATACCATCGGACAAGCATTGCACGAGCGTCTCCTCTCGTTTGGGGACCGTTACCACCAGCATCAGCATCAGCATCAGCATCAGCATCAGCATCAGCATCAGCATCAGCATCAGCATCAGCATCAGCACCAGCACCCTCATCAGCCATCATTGCCAACCCATCACAACAACTGGCACCAGGTCAACCAGCAACTCCTCTCCACCACCACTCCCCACCTCACCGTCCCTCAGATCCCCCGCTCCAGCACGAGCAGCAGCAGCAACATCTCGCGCAAATCCTCGACCATGACGCTATCCTCCTACGACGGCCAAAGCATGGCCTCCAGCCGCACCAGCCACGACACTAGCCCTAGCCCAGGGACCAGCAAGCCCTCCCACTCCACCGCATCCCTCCACAGCGAACCCCAACCCAACCGGATCATCACCCTCAACCCGCCGTGCAACACGGCCACAATCGAGCCACTGATCTCGCGCCACAGCCAAGTCTCGCACATGGGCGTGCTCGACCCCAGCTACAGCCTGTTCGTGAACACGACCCGCACAGCCCTGCTGTGCTTCAAAGTGTGCAACAAAGTGGCCATCGTGTCGGGAGACCCGATGTGCGCGGTCGAGGAGTTCGGCGCCGTGCTCACGGAGTTCCAGACCTGGCGCCAACGCCACCGTCTGGGACTCGCCTTCATGGGGACGAGCGAGCGCATGGTCGAGTACGCCCAGCACCAGCACCAGCACCAGCACCAGCACCAGCACCACCAAGCCCCGACGACGAGCTGGACGATCCTCGAATTCGGGCGCGAGCGCGTGCTCAACCCAACGACCAACCCCATCCTCCTCGAACAGGAAGGCAAACGCATCCTCCTGCAAAACAAGCAGCTCCTCCACCCGGACAAAGGGGGAATAACCCTAGACATCTACGTCGCCCCGCCCAGCCCCACAGCAACCACAGAAGCAGACCAAACGCTCCAAACCCAGCTGTCCGAGATCTACACAACCTGGTGCCACCACCGCAACAACCACCCCGACAAACAAAAACATCCCCAATCCCAAGCCTTCATCACCACCTACACCCCCTTCACCCAGACTCAACCCCAACCCCAGGCTCCGATGCTCTACATCTACACCCGCTCCCCAACCACAGGCAGCCCAACCTCCCTCGCCGCCCTCCGCGCCCTCGGCACCACGCCCGGCTACCACCTCGACCCCTGCATCGCCGCCCCCGGCACCCCCAAGGGCCTCTCGGACTTACTCGTCTTCGCCGCGATGGCGCTCCTCCGGCGGCTGGGGTGCCGCTACCTCGGTCTGGGGCTCGAGCCGTACGCGCAGCTGGGCCGGGTGGAGGGGGTCGCCAGTCCGCTGGTCGAGAAACTGGTCCGCGCGGCGTATCGGTTCGCGTTCGCGCGGTTGCCGGTGCAGGGGAAGCGGGCGTATCATGATAAGTTCCGGCCGGATGCGGGGCTGGAGCGCGGGGTGTTTTTGGTGTTTGTCGGGGAGGGGGGACACTCTGGGGGACGGTGGGGGAGCGGGAAAGGGACTGCGAATGGTGCAAGGGCAGGCACGCCCGAGGTGAGGCAGGTGGTTGGGGTGGCGCATTTGGCGAATATACGGATTCGGCGGGTGGTTTGGGGGTGATTCTTATTCTGTGTATGG